AGTGGTGGAGTCATCATCCCTGGAGGGATTTAAAAGGCATGTAAATGTGGCACTTTGGGACATGGTTTAGTGGTGGACCTGGTCATGGTTGGTCTCATGATCTCAGAGGTGTTTTCCAACACTGATGATTCCAGGGTTCTGTAAGAGCAGAACAAGAACAAGACGCATGAGTAGGGTTTTATGCCTGATTGAATCATAAATTCTAAATCAAAGAGAAGAAATACAGAAGGATTAGCCACAAACATTTTTAGGTTTTTTAATACTTAATTAAAAGATGCCAGATTTGAGTTTGGATGTTAATAATAACAATTTGCATACACATTTATTCACTGCTAAAAAAAAGTGGCCCAAAGTCTATTAAGATCTACAGGGTGGTTCATAATTATTTTTTAGGGATTTTTTTGGTCAGACACCCGTTTAGTTAAAAATATATTGCACAAGCAGGATAAACTGCTGGAGTTGAACTGGGCCAGAGAGGAAACCTGGAGGAATGACACTAAGATGGTGTCTTAACTCTGAAATGTCCCCCTCACACAGCAGAAACCAGACTCCAATGAATGTTTTCTTTAGCAAAGCACTCCACAGATTCCAGACCAAAAATTATTTTACTTCAGGAAGATGAAACTCTCAGTAAATGAAACAGCTTTTGAACACGTCATTCCAATACATACAGGTATCATGAGCCTGAATTTTCCAGTATTCCCCTTTCCTCAGGAGAACTGCTCCCCATGTAGTGACCATTAGCCCAGTTATGGTTAACAGTCAACAATTAAAATTCTAATCTTCCCAAGGGATGCTCACTAGTAGTTGCAGTTTGTCTCTGAGTTATTTATAAAGGCGATTCTAGACATAAATCAGACTCTTTGGAACCATGTTGATTGTGTTGTTAATTTGTCCTTCATATGTAAATTGTATGGAAGATTGGGCTATATCTGAGGTTTTATTTTAAACCTACACCCTGTGAGTACAGTTGTGTCCTGGGCTGGGTCTAATTCTTCGGGCTTGTAGCAACATATGGTCTTAAACTATTCTTATCACCTTCTTCTAGAAGTCTCTCCAGACTCCAAAACCAGCTGAAAATTTATGCTGAAATCCAACACAATCTGGATCACATCTTGTGATGAGAGATTAAATTCCTTTCTCTGGATGGGAAAACTCCCCACATCGAAGGAAGGTGGCACAGGGGAAAGAAAACTAAAGAGACAAGTAAAAAATAGAATAGAAAAAAACCAAATCCCCAATTCTGTGATTGTGATATGCTGAGAATGAATATCCCAAAACACCAGAGATGCTGGTTTTTATATATTCTCTGGAGACTGTCAGGAGCAAATACCATAGTCACCTACTTCCATCTATTAGGGGTAATAAAGCACAGAGATCCACTTTGGGGTTCAGACACCCACTCTGGAGTGTGGGAAGGTGTTAATAGTAATGCAGAGAGACCAGACATGTTCAGAAAAGTTTGGACTCCATCTGTGGTACAGAGAAGAGAACTTCAGTAGGTGTAAATCAGCAGAGCACGACTGAAACCTCCACCAGCTCCAAGTCTGCCCCAGTGGTTCCATTTGTCATCCATTAACACAAATTGGCAGGTTTGAAGGCTTTGTTTTGAAGCTGTGTCATAAAGAGCAGGTAGTGATTTTATGTGACGCTTTGCAATTATTGACTAATTTGAGGTGCGAAAAGGCTTTTAGAGCAGATATGAGCGCCACTATTTCGCACACAGTTTTCCTAATTTCAAAGTTTGGAAAGGCACTAAGGCTTCAGCATATTGGAAGTTTATTTTTAAAAGTGTCTCAGAGTATATGATTCCTCCTCCTCAGAACAGGATGAATTAAATGAAGAACCTGCTGGGGATCCATCATTAGAATGTCTTACAGGGAACAGTCAGTGCAGGACGTCATTGATCCCTAATGCTGCAATATTTGCATTCGCAAAATGTTCCAGCACAGGGTGGGAGAGCTTTCAGATATTGAGGAACTTGAGTACTTGGTTCACTGAAAGGAACATATAATGTTGTCTATTAAATGAATTAAAATTTAGAAATTTATCATCTATTGTTCTTCACCAGTCATAGACTAACAGATAAGAACAGTGGTTTTAAGATTAAGGAGGACAGGTTTAGATGAGATACTAGGAAGAAATTCTTTGCTGTGAAGGTGGTGGAGCACTGGAACAGGTTGCCCAGAGAAGTTATGGCTGCCCCATCCCTGGAAGTGTCCAAGGCCAGGTTGAATGGGGCTCTGAGCAACCTGGGATAGTGGAAGGTGTCCCTGTCCATGGTAGGAGGGTAGAACTGGATGGTCTTTAATGTCCGTTCCAACCCAAACCATTCTGTGAGTCTATGAAACGATAAGAAATTATTAACAGGTACGTTCACTAAAAATAGAGCATCCCTTCTCTGGAACAGAAAGGTTGGGATTTTATTAGTTCCTATTTGTTAAGGTCCTGGCCTGTTCAGGAACTGAATCAACTCAATCCTATTTGAAAAGCCCTAAAATAAAACAGAAATCATTTCTCAGAAGTGGGTCCTGCTGTAAAGCTCAACTGTCCTGATACCAGACACAGGAACCCTACTGACATTTCACAGTTACTATTCAGTATCTTACATACCCTCTCTTTAGCAAATTTGTTGTCTTTTTGGGAGAATCCCAGCATCACAGACTTTGCCAATGCCAAGGTATTTAAGGGTAGAGTTATGGGATGACAGAATGGTTTGGTTGGAACAGACCTTACAGATCATCTCATTCCACCCCCTGCCATGGGCAGGGACACCTTCCACTAGACCAGGTTGCTCAGAGCCCCATCCAACCTGGCCTTCAACACTTGCAGGGATGTGGTGGCCACAACTTCTCTGGGCAACGTGTTCTAGGACCTTATCACTCTCAACCTAAAAAATTCTTCTTCATCAATTTAATTCTATCCTCTTTCAGTTTAAAACTATTGTCCCCTGCTCTGCTGCCTAAGGCCTGGTAAAAAATCTCAGTCTTTCTCACAAGCCCTCACAATACAACTTTTCACAATACATTTCTTACCTACCAGGATTATGTACTCAAGAACATTTGGTTTTTGTGGTTTTCAGGTTGTCCAGCACACGTATGAAGAAGGAAAAGTAGTTTCTATAATCTTTTTCAAGACAGATTTCTCTCTCAAGACAGCAGATGGTCACTTCCCTCTGGTGCTGATACTGCTTTTAACTAATTTTTTTCAGCTGTGCTCACACATACATTAAAAAGACACAAAATAAAGACAAGTTGCTCGAAGATCAGAGATGCTACCATGCTGCATCTGAACCTGGATAAGTGGTTATCAGCTTCACTCCAGCCAGTTGAGCCTCAATAAACAGTTAGACTGGATATTAGGAAAAATTTTGTTCTTGAAAGGGTGGCCAAGAATTGGAACAGGTTACCCAGGGAAGTGATGAAATCGCCGTCCCTGGAAGTGTTCAAAAAATATATGGGTGTGGTGCTTAGGGACACAGGTTAGTGATGGACCTGGCAGTGCTGGGTTAATGTTTGGACTCAATGATCTTAAAGATCTTTTCCAATGTAAATTATTCTCTGATTCAATAATTTTAATTACTGGGGTTTCTGAGTTGGGCCTTTTTGACAGAACTGGTCAGAGAGTCACTCCACGGGAAGTTACACAGGAAGGGCTGAAGGTGCAATAAATCCTTGCAGAGAAGGATATTAAGAAGGATGGTGTTAAGAAAGTGGTATAGAAGGAGGGATACAACCTTTTACCCAGGCTCAGCCAGGACAGTATCAGTCCTGGATCAGTCCATCATAGTCTACACTCCATTTTTGGTGCAGCAGCCATGTAGCAACACTCACTGTCCACCATCTCCCCATTGAACTGGACATCTCAGAGTGAAGGGAACATCTCAGCTTTTGGTGTCTCCACAACTCCTCTTCTATTCTAGGACAGCTGAAGTCCAGCAGCCCATGAAAGCCACAGAAATCAACACCCAGAGCTGTCAGATATGATGGAATCACTGCTCTTAATAGCTGTGCAAATTTCTGCACCTGAATCTTAGTCTCTTTTCTATGGCCCATGGAACAAAACAGGCCTGTTGAGAGTTCTAATCTGATCTATTTCACATATCTATTTTAAGATGAGATGAAACATGTCTTAGACTTCACTTGGTTGACTCACTCTCCATTAACTTTTAAGAAATCTTTGGAAGGACATAGTTCAGATATAACCACCTACACTGGAAATATCTACATTTCAGTAAATGTCTCCTCCATCTGGTTATGAAATCAATAAGAACTAATCACTATATAATGAAACCTCTTTCACAGGTATTATGACTTGTTTTCAGTTCTGCCTGTATCACAGACCTGGATAAGGCAAACTAAGGGTATTCTTTCACAGGACTCACTTTCTCCCTGGTCTGAAGAAACAGAGCAATCTTTGGTCTGCACCCTCATCCTTCACACAACCTTTGTGTGCCATTCATATGTCTGCAGTCTTATACCACCTTTCCTTTCAGTCACTTATTTTCCAGGTTAAAGATGCCTAATCTTCTCGATTATTCCTCAGATCCAAATTGCTTCTGAGGTTTTATCATCTTGTTACTCTACTCTGGACCTTTCCTTACACACAATTCTTTCTAAAATCATTAGTCTGCTCCCTTTATTCTGGTTTTTGGAGACTCTTTTGAAGCATCTACTTGCCCACAGCCCATGAGGTAATTTTACAGGGAGTAGAAAGTGGCAAAAAGCCGATCTACATCATGGATTTTGTCACACAAACAGAAATGTGGTTGGAGACCATAATATGTGGATGCATGTATCTGTACTTGCATTATTTCAGTAGCTTTGTTTCCTCGTGAGATTATACGCAGTCAATACAGGTTCCCAGTCAGAGACAGGGATGATAAATATGAGAGCCATTTCAGGAACAGCTTGTTTGTGAGAGTTTGTCCCTGAATATTCCCTTCCTGATGATCAGGTTAATGGCTTTGGAATGGAGGTTTTTGCTACAATAACAGGAGAATTTAGAGGAGGTATTTAATAAAAATAGATCCATGGCATCAAGCTTTCGTCACTGATTCTTCACTAGGCACAGATTCTGGGATAACAGGCTCCAAAGATGTTGAACTTCTTGCATGAGAAAAGCAAAAGAGCAGATTAAGGGAAAAATATCAGAGTATGAGATCATTTGCACATCCCTGATGTTTGTATGTGAAGAACCAGTGAAACTGGGGAGGACTTGTTGTGATTGAAAAAAGGATCAGCACATGCCCAGGAGGAGATCTTCATGGGAAATGACAAAAAGGGTGCAGAGGGAGGCAGGCTATCCAATGGCATCTTTGGATCCAGGGATCAATGGGAGTCAGAGCAGGTTCCCGCTGACAGCTGAAATTACAAGTTCAGTTCATTACTCAGTGTAAGACCAGAGCTCTCAAACCAGCCTTCTCCCCACAGGCATCATGAAATGAGAAAGGCAAGAAGCTGCAGCTTCTCTGAAATTAGTAAGTTACATTTTAAAAGTTTTCCTGCTTTGCTGCAAACTTTGTGAACACAAACATTGGTGAGGAAAAAAAACAAATAAGAGAAACAAAAAAAAGAAGTAGTGGGTGGTGTTTAATATGAAAACAAAGGGATGTGGCTTCCCACTGCATCCTCTCTTCCCTTTCAACCTTGTGCTCACCATTCCATCTCAGCACCAAACCTGTCCCACACACCCTGCTAGAAGACAGAAAGCCACTCTGAGAGGCAGTTGACTCTGTTGGAAGATCTACAGACTCCCAGGAAACATAGTTCATTCTGCTGGAAGACAGATAACACTCCAGAGGAGGTAGTTACTGAGAAAAGATTGCACCACACATGAATCTGTGGCCTAAGGGTGTTTCCTGGCAGACTGAAGTGGGGAGAAGCTTTATCCTGAGCCAGAATTGATGACGTGGACATTGTTCCCAGGTCAAAAAAAGCAGATCAATGAACAGTGCAGAGCCAAAGAAAGAGGAAGACAGTGTGGGATATAGGATGTGGATTAGGGAGATATTTGGGATTTTTTTATATCTTCTTGTGTGCTGGCAGACCCAAGTGTTTCTGTAACTAAAGGCGTGAGCAGTCACACACTGTGAAGGGTTGCTCTGGCAAGCAAGGAGGAGGCAAAGACTCACCTACCTGGTTCCTCCTCACTGAACAGACCTTGTGGAGATTCCTACTCCATTCATTTCCACTCAGCAGCTTCCCAGAGCTATTCCTGACTTAACCTTCCCAGATTACTTGTGGGCATGGAGGAGGAGAGCAGTGATCACTTTTCTAGTTCCTTCCTGGTTACAAGTTGGTCTCCAGGAAGGCCTAGAGTGAAACCACCACAAAAGGGCACCTCAGACCTCATTGATTCCTGAGGGGATTGCAGGGACTTACTGACTCAGTGGAAATGGAGCACCTGGCAGATTCCTTCTGCTCATGGGGAGCTAAGAAATTGTCTGAACATAATTAATTTTCAGTGGAATTTCAGGTAAAAGTTACATATCTGAAACCAGCAAGATTCCTGCCAAATTCCACACCCCTACAGAGACTGCAAGAACCTGTCAGTGGTGAAACAAAGCTTTATTTTTCTTTTAATGTTGAAAAAATAATGCATTTTCCTGTTATCATTTTCAGAGGTGAAAATCTGAAAAGGCAATCAAATAAGATGAAACTTTTCATCTTGAGGCAGAGACCTGGAGAAGAAAAACAGCAACCAAACAAAAACAAACCAACAAACCCCAAACAAAGCAAAACAAAATCCCAAAATATTCACACTAAGCATAGAAAGCTTAAAAAGACTCTAAGAATCTCAAATGCAGTACATGTTGTAAAGTATTTAATTACCTTAATCATGTTTCCTATAAATTGATCCATTAGACTTCTCTCAAATGTCTGCAGCATACACTGTTTTCTCTAATTACCCTTCCCAATAAGTACTTAAAATATATGAAATTTTCAGTTACCCAAATATTTAAAGCAAAAATACAGTCCTTGTTTCTCAAAACTTAGGAAAAAAACACGCCAGTGGAATATATATGAGTTCTGACTGAATTATGGAGTAACCTGGAACCAAGCACAGAGCTCTTTGAAGCAATCTGACACTTTGTTCAGGATGTCTGTCAAATTCCTGGAGGAAAATATATTTATGGGAAAGGAAATCAAAAAACTTCCTTTAGGAATTAAGACTCTGGAATTAATAGCACAGATCAGTAATGTATCTTTAGTTTCATTTACTTAGCAAGGAGTAACAGCTTCTATTTCATTCCAACACAGCAGGGTCATTAATAGCATCTTTTTAACTCTACTTAGATTCCCTTTTGTTTGTTGTGGCACCCCAGGGATTCCTGGTTACTTTCAAAATGATTTTGACTAATTGCATTAGGCCCCATGTTGGAATCTTAAATATACTGTAAATAGCTGGAGTTTTCCTGCCAGGGTGTAACACACCACGGCTTTCAGACCTTATCTGACGACACCTGGTTGTTGATGTTTCATTAATAACAGCAACTGCAACAGTAATTCGCTGGTTCATCAGGATTTCAAGGGAGATGCCTGGTGTCTGAGAGCTCTGCCCTCATCACTGGGCTGATGCCAACACTGTCAGTGAACATATTCCCACCCTCAAACCTCGATCCACACCCTTGCTGGTGCTGCCAGTGCCCAGGCACAGAGGACAGGTGTGTGTAAAGAGCTTCCAACCCTCCTCACAACCCTGTTCAGTCTCTCACTGATGCACTCCAGATGGGTCATCACAAGGCGGTTTTGCCATCCACCTCTCCCAGAAGAAAGTGTATCCATTTTATCCCAGAGTGAATCACCAAATCATTAAGGTTGGAAAAGACCTTTGAGATCATCAACCAGCACCATGTTCACCATTAAACCATGTCCTCAAGTGCCATATATGTACATTCTTTGAACACTTCCAGGGATGGTGACTCCAGCACTTTCCTGGACAGCTTGTTCCAATGCCTGATCACCCTTTCAATGATAAAATTTTCCCTAATATCTAATCTAAACCTCCCCTGGTGCAACTTGAGGCCATTTCCTCTCATCCTGTCACCTGTTACCCAGGAGAAGATCCCGACCCCTAACTGGCCCCAACTTTCTTTCAGGGAGTTGTAGAGAGCAATAAGGTCTGCCCTGAGCCTCTTTTTCTCCAGGCTGAGCCCCCCCAGCTCCCTCAGCTGCTCCTCATCAGACTTGTACTCCAGCCCTTCCAATCCATTGGACTGGAGTTCCGGCAAGGCAATGAGATGAGCGTGATCATCATGAGCTCAGGATGCCCAAATCTACACTGATAGTTACTCTCCTTTCAGATGGAAAAGGTTTTCTCAATTCTTTGGAACAGGCTCCCCAGGGAAGTGGTCACAGCATCAATCCTGCCAGAGGTCAAGAAGCATCTGGGCAATGCTTTCGGGCCCGTGGTGTGATTCTTGGGGCTGTCCTGTCCAGGGCCAGGAGCTGGACTTTGATGGTCCTTGTGGGTCAATTCCAGCTCAGGGTATTCTGATTCTACAATTCTGTGAACCACTTTCTTTCTCCTTCTGTCCCACATTTATTTTGGAGTAGGTGCCCTAACAGCCACAACATCCTGAAATGGGGAATTGTTCCACAGCACAGTGTGTGAGTTGGGTTAACAGCCACAACATCCTGAAATGGGGAATTGTTCCACAGCACAGTGTGTGAGTTGGGTTTTCATCACAGCTATGTCACCCATGTTCTTCTGAAATGTATTGAAGAACAGTGCTGGTCACCTTTGTGAGCTGTGTGTTGGAAGAGAAGTGATTAGCCCATGACTGGATCACTGGGGTGCTTTCTCTGTTAGTACAAATGCACACACCCCAAAAATAAAGTGCATTGCAATAGTTAAACCCCAGAGCACACACCAGTTCTGCACATGCACAACACACCTGCATAGGACTCTGTCCTGAATCTTTCTTCTGAAACTCTATGAATGGGGAAAACTGCCAATACAATTAAAACTTTGGCTCCTGTGTCCCTCTTGCTCCTTTTCCAAGGGGCAAACCACTACCCTAATCAGAATTCTACCTGCTCCTGCTATTGAAAACATAATTTCATAAACAAGTCTCCTTCCCAGGAGAAAGGAGAAAAGGCTGATGGGTTGCAGATATGTAAGGTCATCTCAATCAGCATTCCAGTGCATATGGGAAGCAGGGAGTTTTCAATAAGTCAAGGACTTTGAAAACTGCTTTGCCATGCACAGGGAAGGGAGTAAGTGTTTGAAGCACAGATGCCTTGGCTATTCAGAACAAAATGAAAATCTTTCTGTGAAAGCATTCCAGCTAAGCTTAAAAGCCCATTTCAGAAAGTCCTGCTGGTTAAACAAAAGTGGAAATTCCTGACTTTCTGATCCCCTGACTTGGTGCCATTTAAAGCAATTGGAGAATATGGCTTTTATTTCAGAGAGTGATCAGCCTCAGTGGTGCTTAAGTTGGGACAAGGCCTCATATTCATGATGGAAGGCTTTTTGTGTAGCTGCAAATCCTCCTTACTCATCATGCATGGTGTTATAAATTTCTTCTGAGTGGTTCTTTCATCACTCACAGGTTCCAATTCTGTCTAAGGATATTCTGTATGTTCTATATATATATATATACATATACCTGTCACTCAGAGTTCAAGACCTGAGGCAGAGTTGTAATGCTTTAAGAGGCACAGGAATGCCTAATCCTGCAAAAACTGGGTGATATACCTTGGGATTTCAGTGTGTCCTGCACTTCCTTCTGATGCTGTGCCCATGAAACGTGGAGTTTCTCAGTTCAAGACTTCTTTCACTACAATGATATTTAGATCTTTATGCTAGTGCCAAATAGCCAGAGTTTCATTGCATTTAGAGGAAGATCCAACTTTATAAAATAATACTTTTTTTTCTCATTAAGGACTTGAATTTCATCTTGTTGCCACTGCCACAGACAATCCAGTGGTCAGACTTTGTGCTGAGAGGCACAAAAGGGCCTGAAGTGATTGCAGACATCACCCAGAACTTAGAGGGGAAGGCTGTCATCCCACTGCCTCAATTGGTTTTGGATGAAATTCCCCTTCACAAACTCACATCTCTGCAGAGATGCTCTTGTCTTCTCAGGATATGTGCTATATGTAGGAAAATGTGGTATTGCTTGAGGCCTCGCGACATAAGTAATGTTAGTAACTCCATGGAGCCTCAGGGAAGTGAAGGATTATACCAAAATACATCAAGGTTTGTAGGGAAAATAAGACTCAATTTTCATATCATTGAAAACCATCATCTTAAATTTATGTTTAATCGTGTTAAAAAATGTATTTCATTGCATAATTAATGCGGGCCTGGAGCAAGAAAGTTTGGGCAAATTCTGGTTTTTTCCTGAGGCATAAAAGGCACTGAAATTCTGGCTGGTAGAGCTTTTCCACTCCTACTTTCCAAGGCTTGAGAAGGACTCTCACTTGTGAACCTGTTGACATGTTTCTAGCAATGTGAGTGATTGTGGCTTCCTCTTCTACTGCTCCTTCAAAACAACCTGCTGGAATTCACATGCTGCTGGAAGCACAGACCTCTGGTGATGAATCACCTGCTAAAGGTTGTCACGAGGGGGCACTCAAAAAAATAAATACTTTGGTAGTTCTCTAAAATAGCCATTTTCAGTTTGGGTTCAGAAAGTCATTTCATAGAGTTCCTGGTCTTTATATATATTTTTTGTTTAAAAGAGACAGCATCAGCAGCTGCCCTTTTGTAAAAAGAGGAAAAACCACAAAACTTTCCTAATTTATTACATATTTTACCATTTAATTGTATGCTCAATGTGCTGGTTTTGCCTCTTTCCAGAACTTGGAGACTACACAGTAACATTTGAGTCCCAATGAGTGGGCTACTTTAAATGTTAGGAGAGAGGTTTTTGCTAATAGACTTCAAATCCCCAAATTTGTCAAAGCAGTTCCTGGTTACATATCATCATGAAAATATAAAAATAAGAAATAAATTTTAAAAAAAGCCACAAAAATCCACCAAAAAAAAATAAAAAAAAAAAAAAAAAGAAAACCCCACAGAGACAGCAAATACCACCTCTCTGTGAAATGCAGATTTATAGATGTAAGAGTTCAGATATGCGTGTCAACATTCCTTTTCAGCATTTTAGGACTTTACAGTGACAAGAGATGGAAAATACTCTTTTTAAGACTATCTTTTTTCTTTCTCTCCCACACTGCAGATCTATATCCAGCAATCACTTCAACCCAGCTTCCA